AGTATTTTATAATGTATGCTGAAATTATTCGGGCCCCAGAATCACGTGGTCATGTCCTCTTATGAACGACCTTCCAACAGCAGGTGGGACAAACTGCCCTAAGGTCATAAATGTTAAGATCTGGGGCCCTGTCGTTCTTCTTTCTACTCTTAAACTTCCCCGAAAAGTCTCAAAGGTGCAGAATAAGATCATCTTCGGCAGTATTCCCACCATTGAGCTTTTTGGTGGATTTACTTCTGTAAAGCTGTTGACAGTGACGGGAAGTAACGTTCTCAAATTCTAAGGACCATGTGCAGTTGTTTCCCCCAGGCCTATCCCCCCCACCCCCACCTCCCACCCTCTCACAGAGGTTTCCTAATGGGGCGTATTGGGGTTTCGCTTCTAAGAAGTAGGAGCCTCTCTGTGGGTGGCTAGGTCTGTAATCTTTAACGTAGAAAGTATCATCTGTCAGCCCAGGTGAACGGAGAATTTAAATCCAGAGGACTCAGGTTAACGTTAATCATGATTAATGACGGACAGCGATTCCCCCGAGAGTCAGGATGGCTACCTCTTTTCCCCGGTGCTGGCGCATGTGGCAGCTTTGCTTCGCCTTTTATGGAGCAGGGGAGACCGATTTCCACTGGACCTTCTCGGAAGATGTGTTCGGTATCTCTTAAGCAGCGAGCCTAGGTTACGAACAAAGAGTCAGACCACGCACCCACCCCACCCACCACCGACGGGGCAGCTCAGCCTGCTGTCCTTGGGGACGAAAGCTACTTAAGATTCCTAAATGCATAGGATAAGCAAAGCTTCTCTTTCCCTCAGCACTCTTTTAGGATCCCATACCCTTTGAGGGTTTATCATATTTTATGCACCAGCAGAACAGACTCACTCCTTCATACTTTCTCGCGGGCTAAGTGGTTTTTCCTATGCCATCCACATCATCCCGTCACAAGTAAGAACAGAAGCCAATGGATGGAAAAATAGCTTACATAGGCAACACCAGGTCTTAAAGACGGTTTGTTCTTGGATATAAAAATTCAGCACGCTAGTAAACGGCGAAGCAAAAGTTGCCCTGGACTCGGGGTTCCGAGGGCATCTTAGGGATGGTTCCAGCAAATAAGTGTTTCCCCCCAGACTATTATATAGGCCGAGTATATAGGTATAAAGCTGGCAATGAAGCCTCCATAATTTTAATGAATTTATTTGTTTCTGTCCCTGCCCATTCCACAAAGAATTTAAGATCTTATAAAGATCCATATAATACAAATGCATTAAATGAATATCTCAAAGGCAGGATATGGGCATGAAGATGAACATGCTCAGACCCCATGTTGTCCCGTCGAGCTGCTGCAGAACAAAGAGAAGGGAGGCTGGAGTCGTCCTTGTCGACTTGAAATCGCAGGAATTTGTCACCTGATAGCCTTTCCTACCTGTTGAGTGCTCTCGATCATTGCCAGCGCCTCAGCCATGAGCTTCTGGTTGATGCCACAAAGGTTAGCCACCTTTGTCTGGCATCTGTGATGTACATTCATGCCGCATGCTGAAAGGAAGAAGGTGACACCGTGAGCAAGAGTGACGGAGCCAACCACCATGGACTCTGCCCAGGATCTGTTTCAGGTACATGTCTGTGGAAGGAACAACTGGCAAATCCCCGGCCCATCTTCCCAGCAGAAGGAGATACCGAATACAATAAATTAGTCAGGGCAATGCGTTTACAATGCCCCCGTGCATCCACCTCCCCATCCTGAAACAGACACACACCTGATGCTCCCACTCGAGATAGAACCGAGCCTTGTTGATAGGGGAGGAGACATTTAGACTGTGCCATTGCTGAGAGAAAAACACTGATGCTGTGGCTCTCATGGGTGGTAACCTGCAATGCTGGAAGTTCGTTCACTCCCACGTTAGCCCGGAGTCCAAGTGTCCCCTTTCGCACATGGGCTGTGAGGAGCTTCTCTACCCTCTAGGCAGAAGCCCAGGGTGCAGCCTCAGCCTGCAGGACTGAAATTGAGATGGTGGGGGTGGTCTGTGTATGTGTTTAGGGGTGAGGGTAGCACGGGGGAAGGTGGCCTCACCACCTTCATGTCCTTACCATACGGGAGAGTTGGGGTGAACTAAACAATCTATGTAGGCTTTGAGCTCCGAGACCTGCCATTCTAGGGGACTATTCTGATTCTTTAGTCCTGAAAACAGCACGGTAAAGGTCTGCCCTCCACTTACTGTGACCATGTGAGCCTTCTTGGGGTGGGGGGGCGGGCAGTGCGCCTGTGTGTCTGTGTAAAGACAACTATTGTATCATGTCGTTCGTTTTAGAAAATTCAAATTCTGCTTATGAAACATCACCATTACAATGAGAAAAAAAAAAAGCTAACTTAAAGATTTCCAAACTCCAGCTGATAGAACTCTAATCTCAAGTCTGACTTGATTCCATAAAGTGTATCAACAGGGGTTGTTACAATGCGACCAGGCAGGAGAAGCTAAAAATCCTGCAGTTTTAAACTTGTCTGCTTATCACTCGCCCAGTTGCGTGCAAAAAACTTACCCCAGTGATTGGATGGAACAGGCCAATGCTCACCAAATACGACTTCCCTTTTGCCTTCATTATTTATTACAATGAAATATATACGGAAATACTTAAGTGAAATTTTGGCAGCCTTCATCTTTACTTTGAACTAGCTCACTCCTCCTCAGCTCGTTCATCATGAAACGAAATCAAGCAGCATTTTCTATGTAAACAAGTATAAACTATTATATATGCAGAGATAAAATCATAAAAATCCGTTCGAAGTGAAATCTTTAACATAATGAAGATGCTGTTTATAACGGCTTTCTGCCCTCCTGAATTCTGATTCCCCCTGAACTCGGTTATGCGGGGTTTATGCTGGGTGCTCCCGGTTCCATTTCTTTTTTCCTTCCTCCAAGGCAAAGGGAGGCAGTTAGTGAGGATTTAGCACAAGACATGGGGGAGTTTTACTTTGCTCCTTAAAACTGTACCTAGATCTAAGCTTGTCTCTGAAGCACAGTGGTGAGGAAGGGCCCCATCCCCACGGTGACACTACCTAAGTCTTTGTCGCTAACCTCTGAGGCCATAACTGGGTCTCTCTGTGTGTAAATGGTTCCTTCTGATGACGATTCTCATGGGAATTATAGGGGAGAGAGAAAGGAGGCAGGCCAGAATGAAAGGAGGCTCTACTTAAGAAGGTGGCTTATAAGAGAGGAAGATAAAGAGAGAGTGAGGCCAAGGGTGAGGGAGAAAGAGGCCTAGGAAAGGTGGGGGGGGAGCTGAAGAGGAGGGCATGAGGAGCTGAGGCCACAGGCAGCTTCGGGTGTTGGAAGCCTGGAGGAAAGGGAGGGGAGGGGAGGGGAGGGGAGGGGAGGGGAGAGGAGAGGGGAGGAGAGAAAAGAGGGAGGGGCTATTGAAGTGCAGGAGGTGGGAGAGTGGGGAAGAGAATGGAATGGAGAAAGAATGTTAGGAGGATGGAACAGAGCCACACAGGAGCCATGAAACAATGGAAGCCTCTGGGGGTTCTAAGCTCATAGTGTAATCACACCGTTGGGGACCAGCGTGGCCTCTGCAAGTGAGGCGCCCCGGCTCCAGGGACAGGAAGCCTGAATGGTGGAACCTCATAGGAACAGGAGAGCCACCGGATGGGGATTTGACTATTCGGGTCCTGTTTGTACACTTAGAATACCCTGAAATGACTTCTTGCCTTTGAACTCTTAGCGATAGTTCTATATGGCACCAGGCCCACCCATCTCCTCTTGAACTGGGGTAGACAGCAAAGTGCACGGGGCTACTTTTGGGTTAAGGTGAAGTGTGACCACATGTGGGTTTTGCCTTCGGTAATGATTCGGAAAGCTGACCCGTCTGGCCGCCCTGAGAGGTCACTCCAGGCTCCAGCAGACGTGTGGGCACAGCCGGGATGGGGAAGCAAGAGGCCATGAGCTCTCCTTTCCCTACGTCAGCCACCTTGGCCACTTAAGCACTAAGCCGGGCATTAGCCAGTGGCATAAATTAAAATGGGGCCACCAAGAGAAAAACAAAGCGGACCTATGTCTAATAATTCAAAACAAAAGGACTCCGCTGCATAAGGACACTGTCCTTTTCGAACATGTTATCTGGGTCCTGTCCCCACTCTCACTTTGACTCAAGAGGCAAAAGTGCTTTGTCAGTTCTTGCAATTTTTGTACTTTCTACCCCCTAATCCAGGCGTAACAGCACCTCAGTTTCTAAAGGTTCTTGCCTTAGCAACTTGGAATTTTCGAGCAAGAAAGCATGTGACTTGCTGGTGCCAAGGAGAGCGGCAGGGACGCAGCACAGCTCAAGCTGCCAGGGCCAGGGAGGGGCAGGCCCAGAACATGGAGGACACCGCAGGGCAGGTCGGCAGGAAGGGGACCCCTTGGAGGAGCAATGCTGTCTTCCTTTCTCCCCAGGACGAGGTACAGCAGAAGGCAGCGGGCCAGGAGCCCTGACGTGTAACCTGAACGGTTTTGCACTTATCTGGGAAACAAGGGCCAGGGTGTTGGGGGTGGAAGGAAAAGAAGGGCAGTGGCTCACTGTCCTGGGAATTTCTCATTCAGGATCACGGGCTCGTCCGGGCTGGCTGGAGACGTCAACCAACTACATCCTCCCTCCCAGCCTCACACTCTCCGCTGGAGCTGGGCATCCGCCCCGTGGGGGGTCTTGTATCGGGGCCCACGCTCACTTCCCGTTAGACTCACCGTCGCACTTGAGGCCCTGCCTCGCCAGGCCCCACAGCAGGGTCCCACAGTGCTCACAGAAGGTGGGGCTCTTGTAGTTGTAGACCTTAAATCTATGCGGCATGTCAATTTTGAACCTCTCTTTGTGGAACTGAAAGAAGAGGAGAACGTGAGACTGTACCCGTGTCCAGGGGTTCCCAACTTTTTATTTTCTTTTTTATGAGGAAGATTAGCCCTGAGCTAACATCCACCACCAATCCTTCTCCTTTTTGCTGAGGAAGACTGGCCTTGAGCTAACATCCGTGCCCATCCTCCTCTACTGTATATGTGGGACACCGGCCACAGCATGGCTTGACAAGTCTGCACCAGGGATCTGAACCTGTGAACCTGGGGCCACCAAAGCAGAACGTGCAAACTTAACTGCTGTGCCACCGGGCCGGCCACCTGGGTTCCCAACTTTTGATGTCTTAGCAGATTCTTTAGCATAACTGACAGAATAATGAAAACATTGGAATGGTGTGTATTTTAAACCATAATTTTCACTTGTTGAGCCTGATAGGCACGTCCAAGGAAGGCAGGCAGCCAACAGTTCTTCTCAGTGAGGGGCTAAGCGTGCAAGACACACATATCAGGTCACCCGGAGACAGCAGGAGGGGAAGGCATCCCCACAGACAGGCCAGCATTTCAGGAAGGGGGCTGGGGTGATTTATTTAAATGGGACCTGAGTAAATGTTGCGCTTCCCTTTTTGTTTTAATATAAATATTTCTTTTGCTCTTTCAACCCACAACTAGTACTTTAACCTTTGGAAGATGTTAGAGAATGCCTCCTCCAGAGGAAACATTGCTGCAGGTTTATTAGATTGAGACCCTAACGTGAGAAGCATTTTCACCTCTATCACACATGAACCGAGGAGGCCAGAGGTAGGTAAACAGTTCTGCAAGATGCTATGGACAAATATGTCACATGGGTTATCTTTTACAGATGTGATATCTCAGATGCCCCCTTTGAAGCAGCCTGCATTAGTGTCTCATTTGATAGATGAGGAGATTAAGCCCAGAGAGGGTAAGACACGTCTCTAAGTCACACAGCTATCAAGTGAGCTGGGATATCTGTGGGCCTGGCAGTCAGACTCAGAGCCCATTCTCTCTTCTCCCTCAAAATAAACGTGATGATGTAGGGGACGGGGAGAGGGGAGATGAGAGAAGGATGGTGGTGGTAGATACATTGCAGGATTTTTAATTTTTTTTACAGTTTTCCAGAGTTTAAATTCTCTCCTTTAATCAAACTTATCACATGAACTACAATAAACAAATCAGGCAGTTTGGTTTGTGGTAAGAATACTGATATTGTTGTGCAGTTTAAAAAGTTTTATTTACTAAGACTTATAATCTCTGCAGAAGTTTTTAATGAAACAATTCTTATTCCTTAACAGTGATAGAGCCAGCGTTCCCGCTGCGGATCCCTGTCCGCACTGGGTCTTCGGAACGGCTGTTCAGAATTGTTTAAAAGTTGCTTGGCACTTACTCTAGCCGTTTTCAACTAAGAAAAATAATTTTCAGAACTCATTTCGTATAAACGTTTCCATGTAAATATGAACAATTTGAAGGCTTCAACTCAAATCTTGAACCCAAGCCCAGATGGTTCAAGCTATGGCTGGAGATGTGCTGTGAGTGTAAAACACACACTGGCTTTTGAAGACTTTGCATGAAAAAAAATAATGTAAAACATTTCCTTAATTTTTTATATTGATTACATATTGAAATGATAATACTTGGGCAGATTGGGTTAAATAAAAGATATTATCAAGACTAACTTCCCCTGTTGCTTTTTCTGTTACTTAATGTGGTTACGTCAAAATTTAAAATTGGACTTGCAGCTCTCATTGTGTTTCTATTGGACCTTAGCCATCAACAGTCATGGTTACAATTTGTGATTTTTATAGGAAAGCTGGAGGCATCAAGCGCAAGGAGCAGGAGGGCAGACGGGGAGGTGGTAATCTGCTTCAAACAAACAAAAACATTGGCTTGGGAGAGTGAGGCCTGAACTTTAGTCCCAGCTCTGCCGCTTACAGGTGGTTGACTATGGACAAACGAACCTCTTTGAGTCTTAGAAGAGTCACTTGTAGTATGAGATTATTCCCTTCTGGCTCTCAATTCTAGAAGAAATTCTACTCTGGAAGAACTCAACCAATTTGCCTTCTCTGTACCCGCCCCTTTGCTGGAGAAAATCACACACCTGGGCAGGTGGACCCCCTCAAACTCAAGTGGACTTTCAAATGTGCTTGGCGAACCTATTGCCTTTCCCATCTCCAAGAGAATGATTTCACAGATCCTCCTTATCCCCAAGGCCACTTGCTGCCTTCTCTTCTTCCTTCCCCCAATCCTCAGACTTCACTGAGGACGTAAGCTGTCTATGGGAAGCTCCCTCATCTGCCTGTTTGTAGATCCACCCGATCTACAAACCTACCTTCATCTGCAACCATCTTCTCCTACTCCCTTCCTGGTGCAATTGATGACCCGTCTGTCCATCCATCAGAGTCCCATTTCCACACAAACTTTGGACCTCTTCCCCTCTTGCCAACACTGACTGCTTTGCTTGTCCCTCTCTCTCCAGCTTCCTCCATCTCTCATGTCTCCCTGACTATGGGAGCATTTCCATCCCTGTGTCTCACCTCCTTCCAGCTACTGTTCAACTTCAATGATCTCCTTCATGGTTAATCTTCTTGACAATATTGACATAGGTTGTCTCCAGTCATCCAACACATAGGTTGTTTCATCATCTTCTAGTCACCCTCAGTGCTGGCCAATGAGGCCAACACCACTACAGTCCTCTAAAATTTCTCTGAGCAAGGGCTGCAAAGATCTCCAGTTGGCCCTCATTTTTCTCAACATCTCAATGGTACTGGACAGTTGACCCTTTCATACACTCTTAGTATATGAAGAGTCCTCTCCGAACCCTTGTTCTCAGTCTCGATGACAAGCTCCTTCTCATCCATCCAACAGCTAATTTTAGATTCCTTTGGGGTCAGTCCTGAGCTCTCTTCTCACTAGGTAATCTGTTTGGCAGCTTTAAATTCCACCTATATGCTAGCCACTCCCAAAGTTATAGATTTGGTCCATTGGCTCTTGTGACTTCCAAGCTAATCTAAAATTGTGCATTTGATACCTGCCTTGGATGTCCATTGGCATCTCAGACTGACCTTGTCTCAAACCGAAATATTGATTTCTCCCTCCAGTCTTATTCACATTGTCATGGTTCTGCTATCTACCCCAGTGCTCAAGACAGAAACTCAAGCGTCATCTTTATTTCTCTCTCTTTCATTCTCCACATCCAATCCACTGGAAAATCTAGGCATTTCTAATACTGAAATTAACTGAAAATCTGCTTGCTTTGCTCCATCTGCACTGTCCCCACACTGGTACAAGCCACTAACCTTCCCCCATGGTGGGACTCCTTCAGTCACTTCTGGTTTTCACTGTCACATCTCAACACACCGTTTCCTTTACACCAGTCAGAGAGTGGGCTTCACTACAAGTCAAATAAAACCCACCCTCTTTCTCAGGGTTCAAAAGAGCCCAACCTGACCCAGGTCCTGCCAAGTTCCCCCACTTCATGTTCCATTCTCTATCTTGTCCTTGCTGTTCTAGCCACCCGGTCTCATTTCAGTTTCTAGAACATGCTGATTCTTGCCGCCCTCATGCCTTCCAGTCTGCCTGGAGCCTTCCTCCCCGCGCTGTTCACGTAACTGGCTCCTTTCACCCTTCAGCTCCAGCTCAGATGCTCCCTCCCTTGGGAGATCCCTGACCTTCAGTCTAAGGAGACCACTCGGTCATTCTCCATCATGGCAGCTTGTTGGCTGTTTTCACAGCGCCTAATATAAATGGAAACCATATGCAATCATTTGTTAATGATCCATTTCCCCAACTCTACAGTAAAGTCCATAAAGGCAGGACCAGGTCTGTTTTGTGCTCTGCTGTACATTGTGTATGTAGTATAGTATCTTCCACGTATTAGATACACAAGCAATATTTGTTGAATGAAGAGGAAAGGATGGGAGAAGGGAGGCTGCCTGGCTTGCTAGCTCAGCTTCCTTTCCCCATGGCATAAATTCAAACTTGTCCCCAGACTATGTTCCTCCAAGTTCATTCAGAAATATCTGCCTCCCAATGTAAGAACAATACGCCTGCTATCATCTCTTATTAACCTTGTAAATGCTTATGTCTGTATTTTATAATCATTTTCTTCTATTTACTCTTTAACTGTCACGTCTCACTGTAGATGCCACAGGAGTTGTTCTCAGATAATTGATCAAAACTATGCTTTCTGGCCACTTTCTATTATGTTCTCCTGGAAAAGGTACAGTCATTAAAATTCTTACTGTGCTTTTCTTCTTCATCCCCTTGGTTGGGATCTCAGTAACAATCATTAAAGAAGAGGAAAGGATTTTAGGGAGAATGATGTTCATTGATAAGCTTAAGGGTTCAAGTTCAGGCATTATTAAAAACAATTAGTGGGCTGTAGAATTTAGTGCCAGGAAAAAGTCTTCATATTTCAAACCAAGAGAGGAATCTAGAGACGTACCATGGTTTCTCGGCTGTTGATAGCTGATCCTGTGCACTTTGCTATAACTTTATCAATACACTTCTTGTGAATTGCTGCGTTACATTCTGAAAAGAAATGATTGCAGCTTAAGATATTCAGAAGTTATGGAACAACTAAATAAAAAGAACGAGGATGACACAATAGAAATCCTTCTTACTTACGTCGACACTGGTAGCCCTGTTTGTTCAGACCCCTGCAATGAAGCACATGTTTGATTTTACGCAAGTTATAGTCAAGAGCAGCACCACAGACATTTAAAAGATGAACAAGATCTCGTAGCTTCCTACTGTCACAGAGCATTTTCTGATCAGCAGCCCTGGTCTATCATTTGCCAAGTGCGTTAATACGTGCTTTGTGTTTTAAACTGCTTTGTTAAAAGTCGGTTAATTAAATAAATGAGGAGCTGTTGAATTCCCTCGCATTTGCGTATTTTCCTAACAAATGTGTAGAGATGAAAATGCCTGACCGAAAATGCATCATTGGCTCCCAGTAGCAAATTTTCATGTTCTCCACTTAAAAATTCATTGTCTCACTAAGCTCCGTACAGATGAGCAGAGACATCTGTACACCATTTTATTTCTTCTTTCTGACTATCTGAGAATATTTGCAACTAATGAATTCTCAAGCTTAAGACCATTCCTGAGTAACACTCACTATTAGAAAGGAAGGAGGTTCAAGTCATTAGATGAAACAGGTTGAGGGAAATCCACCAAAATTCTGTTTGAGCTTGGGTACCCTGCTTAATAAGCTGGGGTTGAGTGTTAATGGATTCTGCAGGAGCCCGGGGGAAGAACACCCACGAAGAGGCTAGGAGGGTAAGACCAGAAATAGGAGTTGTTTCAAGTCTCCACTCTACCATAGCCTTTGCTATGTGGTTACTGAGGCTTGAACCCATCTCTGAGGGTTTTTAAGACACCCGCAAGACTCATAAACATCTAAACCCATTAGCTCCAGTGGCAAATGTTGCCTGTCGCAGACATTAACACCAGCACGGCTGAGCTGTCGAGGTGGTGGCAGTTTTGACTGTAAAACTGTGCTTACAATAAAGATATCTAACCCCTTCTGTCCCTCCCCTCTTGCCCCCAGCAGCCTCCTATTACTCAGAAACTAAAGTCCCTGGAACGTTTTTCCGATGGAGCTGGGTTCCTTGCTCTACAGGAGCCACGTTATAAAAAGCTTTTACAGAACTGCACCCTTTATGGCTTCTCAATGCAGGTGCGGCCACTGAAAACGCCCACATAGTACTTCTTCCAGCACACTCCCTGAAGGTGGAGCATGCCAGGCCTGGCAGATTAAGGGGATGTGACAAAATGCATAACCCGAAGCTTGGAGGGAAATGCCAAGTTACGTACCAGACAAACTCATGGCAGACAGAGCAAAACGTGGGTTGTGGGAAGAAGGTGGCGGTGAACTCATGGCACTTGACGTGGTGGACCTTAGCCTGTTTGATGGCTCCTCGGCGCTGATGCAAAGCAAAGAAGCCTTCAGTCTCAAATTCACTCATGTCCTTTGTGTCTGCAGGAAGAAGACAGGGAACAAAGTAAAGTTCTGTGACATGGCTGTCATGGCTGGCTGGGGAGCACGGGGAGATGGGTAAGGGACAGAGACGGACAAGCTATTACACAAGCATTAAGATCAGTAAAATTCCAAGTACTTATTAAGGTTGGTACAACACTAAGATCCTTTCCTTAATTCTATAATACAGAATTATCATAGCGTGTATTATTACAGGACTGAAACACTGAAGCTGGATTATTGACTCAATCTTTCACTCCTCTTTGACTGAGCTAATCTATCCTTTCAATTTTTAAAACCAGAGGTCAGAACTTTCAAGGTATTTGTCAACCTCCTCTAGTCATACTCAATGATGAGTCAGCCAGAAAAGGCAGGAAGTGGCAAATACTTTTCTGCCTGTAATTCTAGAGAATGATGTGGTTACTGACAGCAGCTTGGGAACGGCATTGTTTTTAGGTCCCAAGATGCTTTACATCTGGGTGTAGATAGAGTACAGCAGACTGAAGGGAGCTGACTAGACTTGTGGGTAAGGGCAAAAGAACTTTGGGAAGTTGTTTGTGCTCTTGTTCCTGATGTCCGCAGAAATCAGATGCACCAGCTACAGGCTATACTGGTCAATGTGGAAAGGGCCAGAAATTAATTAATTGCTGCAAGTTCTTTTTACTGTCTAGGTAATCCTGGATGCTACCTAGTCATCTACATCAAACCATCATATTGACATTTCTTAGTGGGCTCATGGACATCGGTGGAGGTACTTTAGGCAGTCACTGTCCACAGTGCCCTATGTCCAGACGCCATCTTCCCAAATGGCTGGTAGAATCCTGAGAATGCCAGTGATGCCGTGGCTGGAGCCCAGGCCCAGTGAAAACATACAACAGCAAGGCTGTCATGGGTAAATACGACGATGAAAACTCCAGCACGCGAGAGAGGATGGCATAGTGAACAATAGAGAAATAAAAATTATCATCATCACTGAAATGAGGGACAAGGAATTCAATGATTATAACTCCTCTCCTAGAATTGTAGTTCTGTAATAGCTTGAAGATTCATGGATTACTTATTCTATTTCTTTTATTTTTATAAATACAAAAAATGGAGGTTTAGCAAAAATAAGGGGCTTATATTTACAAATATAAAGAGTTAACAAAATTTAAATTAAGTTACTTGCATTCTGGCTAGGCAGTGGCAGAGACCTGACAACATACTTGAGGCAAAAACCCCTGCTAAGGTATCTTATTTTCTGTATCCCAAATAGTGGCCAGGCTGGCAATGAATTGGGTAGACAAAGGTGGGGCCGTGGAAATGGAGACCTCTCCCGGGGAGTCCAGCCAAGTCCCAGGATGCATTTTAAGGCTCAAGTCCCCTCTACAGTGGTCCACAGGCTTCCAGATAAACTTCCAGATAAAGAGCAATCCGAATAACCATCTAAAGAGTTCCACAGATGGGGCATAATGCTTTGCCTGATACTTTAAGGTTAGATAATATAGGTCTTTTTATTTGGAACTGGGCTGGAAATAAACTAGGCTTGGTGAATGAGGGGTTACAGTTAGGGTCACTGAGGCAATCGCCTTCCTGCTGGTATAAATGTGGAGATCTATTTACAACTTGTGACTGGTGTAGTGGGGTCGTTTGTCAGTAAGATTTGACTCATTTCTATTTTCGTCCAGATGAAATGAAATGAAGTCAATAAAGCATAAAATTACTTTTAAATTCAGGAGATGGAAGTGAATTATTCTGGAAACCCCAGCTGTATTACTGTAAAAAATTATATGTATATAATTATATTAAAAATTATATATTGTCAAATGCACAGACTATTATGCATATAATAGGACAGACTATACAGATATGAATATGTATATATTTATATAACAAAAATAAATTAAAGTATAAATATAAAATATAAAAATATACATATAGAAAATAGTCTGTGCATAAGACTACAATACGGTGAATTTTTTAAGATGTCAGAAAGTGCTAGAACTGAATTTATTCCCTTGCTCCTTCCTACGACTTCCTTTATCCTCTAACCATTTCAATCATTACAAGAAAACATATGTGTAAAAACTCAGAATTCTTTGAATTCTTCCAGTATTTACTATGTTTATTTCTGAAGTAATTTGCTCTTCTGTTTACGTATTGGCCTGAATAAGCTCATTGGTCTTTATATGTTTGGTTATTTCTTTTACAGTAATGGTGCCTGATCTATTTATTTAGGTTAATCTGTCACTTATTTGTAGTCAATCAAATCACAAATGTTTCTTGGGCATTAATAACAAATTGTTATGCTGAAAGTTCTAAAGAAATATGAGATGTCACCCCCAATTTTGAGTGGCTACCAGTCAAGTCAGGGAGACGTGGCTTTCATACAAAGAATAGTATACGATGGTGTTGAGTGGATTTGGAGATATGCACACCCATATTTTTTAGGAGCTAGGAAAAGGAATTACAAAAGAGACTATGAAGGGGCAGCTGAAAAAATAAGAGGAGAACTTGAACAGTATCACATTGGACAAGCCAAGAAAGCATGGGGTTCTCAACACTGACTGACCCACAGATGTCAAGAGAACTGAAGGCTAGGAAACAGAAATTTGTTTTGAGGACTCATACCCTTGGAGAAAGCCATTGGTCGAACTATAAGGCAGACTCTCAGGGTTTAAGAATTGATGGAGTAGTGAAGAAACAGGGTCAAATAAATATAAGCCACTTTTTCAAGAAATGTGTTAGGGAAGGAGAGGAAAGAAAAACTCATGGAGGTAAAAAGTTAAAAAAAACAAACTTTCTTAAGATTGGAGAAGATGGCTTAGTTCGCTATGCCTTGGCAATGAGGTGGAAACCTAAGAGAGAAGGAAAAGTTGAAGGCTGAGGATGCCAGAGAGGAAGCATGATTGGTGGTGCAGAGCTTCAAAGGATGAGAGCCCAGAGCCCAAGAAAGAGAGGGACTCTCTCTGAGGCAGAAGAGCGGGAAGAGAACGCAGGAAGAAGCAGCTGCATTCTAAAGTGCAGAGAGGAAGATGGAGCCTCTCCCAGTTATAGGTGGGACAAGGCCAACCTCCAAGAGTGAGAGAAGAATAAGATACCCTCAGAAACAGAGGAGTCTGGGAATGTTTGGAATAACTATTGTATGGGAATTAAAAGAAAATACAAGGAATTTCTAAATGCCAGGGTGAGTCCGAGTGAACAGTCCAACAACCATTCATTGAGTACCTCCTACGGACCTACCATGCAACCTGGTGCTGGAGTTAAAGAGACAAATAAGATGCGCTTCAACCATTGCTTTCCTGCAAGGAAGTTAGAGTCCAGAAGGAAAGACAATTAAGGTAGTAAATGTCAGAACAGAAGTATTCACAGGATGGTATGGGACCATGGAATTCAGGAAACTACACCAGCTAAGGCAGGTATAGGCAGGTAGAGGTGAGAAACAGAGGAAAGTTGGGCAAGGAAGGTACTAGCAGAG